AAAAAAAAAAAAAAAAAAAAAAAAAAAAAAAAAAAAAAAAAAAAAAAAAAAAAAAAAAAAAAAAAAAAAAAAAACTAGAAGAAAAAAAAAAAACTAGAAGGAAAAAAAAAACAACTAGAAGGAAAAAAAAAATATTTTTTTAGGAAGGTAAGACACCTTTTTTTTTACTATTTTTTTTGAGATAACAGACCTTTTTCACAAGATAACATATAGTACTACCTTTGGACGTTTCAACAATAATAGTCTTGTTATTATTTGTCATACTAACTACAGTTCTGGTTTCCGTAAAATTGGTTTGAAGTTTTCTTTTTCAGGTTGCTGAGTTCATATCGGTATTAGAGCAATTGCAACCAACTGACCAGGTTTGTAGGTATTATTGCAGCAGTGAATGCTTGAATTTTTTTGTATCTGCTTTCTTGTTTTTTCAAGTTGCTTATTAACTTTGTTATGAATCATTAAAACCTTCTCTAGATGGTCTTTTACAGTTTGAGGTATTGTTAGTATTTCTTGCACTTCTATTTCCTGAAAGCTGACAGGATCAGTGGGATTGAATTGCTGGTATATGCCAAGGAGTTTGTAGCCAAACATTACTTCGCGGGGGTTTTTCCGTGAATGCTATATTAGGTGATATTATAGGAAAAAACAAATTTTAATAAATAGTCTTTCTAATTAATGTTTTGCAGTTGCATTTCTTCATTCCACAGCATTTTCATAAATCCACGTCCAACTGTTTGGTTTAGACATTCAACTTGCCCTTAGAACATCAGATGTTTTAGATGGCTATATCAAATTGTAATCCCAAGTGCTTCGCAAATACATTTAGTAACAGTGGTGCTAAACTCTTTACCATTATCAGATTGTAAGATCGATAGTGCACCCCATTGTGAAAATAAAGAAATCAAAGCTTTGCTGACAACTTTAGCTTCTTTGATTTAATTGGAATAGCCCACAAAAATTTAGAAAAAATACAAACTATGGTAAGAAGCCAAGAAAACTCATCATTCATATCTTTGTATGCTATAAAATTGATAAGGTTTATTTGAAGGTGTTCTATTGGACTGTAACTTACAACTAGTGTCAGGTCGTCTTTTTCTTTAATTGAGGTAGTTCGATTACAGGTATTACAGTTTCGAACGTACTCACAAACTTCTTTTTTTGTGATGCCAATATGATGGGTCATAATTTTTTTATGACAATCATTCGTATTAATATGACAATCATTGTTATAAAATTGTTTAAGCAAAGATTGACAAAACTTCAAGTCCCACATAGGAACAAAATGATGAAGTAGCTGATCTTTAATTTGAGCATAAAGATGGCTATTTTCTAGACACCAAGTTTCATTTTGCACTTAAAGTTATATCGATTTTTTGGGGTTATCAACGTAGGTATAATTCTGTTACAAAGGTAGGCAATGATATCCTAATATTTTTCAGGTGTTTTAGGAAAGTCAGCTTCATAAACCATTGCACGATTTTTTATAAAAAGTTTTTTTTTGTCTTTACATGCTTCTGGTTTAGATACCCATACATTATAGATAAGAGATGTATTACTGCATTTTGACTTTTCTA